TTTCTACCTCTTGATTCCATCTATTTGTTGGCATTCCTTTTCTCTTTTTTGAAACTATAGTGTAGTTTAGTACCCTTTTTGGAGTCCTCGTGTTCGGCATCCTTTCTAGGTAACCTCGCCATCTTAGTCTCTGTGCCTTTATGATTCCTATTATATTAGGTTCATTATATAATTCCTTTAATTCACCATTTGATCTTCTTATCCATAAACCGTCCTTTATTATTCCTCCATATATCTTCCCCAGGATTTTCCTTCCCCATATCTCCAGTAAATTTTGTTCATTTTTTGTCATTTTCCATGTCTCACTGCATGTTACTATTGGTTGTATAGTTGTTTTGTATTACTGTATTTTTGCCTTTCTTGATAAAAACTTGCTTTTCAACATTCCACTAAGAGCATGTACTGCCATGGAGCTATTGCCTGCCATTATTCTATGCCTTTTATTTCTTCTTTAATGTTAGGTTTACGTGATATTAATGCACCTAGGTATGTAAATCTTTCTACCATTTCGAATTCGTATGATGATCCTTCTTCTACTTCTACTTTAAACTTTTGTCTATCCCTGAACTGATCATCTGTCCACTGCATACATTTTATTTTAGTTTCATTTATGTAAAGTCCCATTTTCTTCGCTGATTTTACTATTCTCTATACTATCTCCTGTAGCTCTTTTTTCCTCTTGCCAGCAACACTACATCATCCGCAAATGCCAAAACTTGGTGTCTTTTATGATATAGGAGTCCTTTTCTATTGATTTTCGCTTCTCGCATTATTTTTTCTAGTCATAAATTGAAGAGTAATGATGACAAAGGATCGCCCTGTTTTAATCCTTTGTTTACTATACATTTATCCGATGAATGATTGTTTACTTTGATTCTGTTTTCTGTATTCTCTAAAGTAAGATGTATCATGTTACGCAACTTTTTGCTAACTCCCATTTCCTGAAGGGTCTCTTTTAATTCCTTCCTCTTTATTCTATCGTATGCTTTCTGGAAGTCGATAAATAGCGCTATCGTTGGTAAGTTGTGTTCATAGCTTTCTGCTTGTAATTCTCTGATTACGAATACTTGGTCCGTTGCGCTTCTGCTTCGTCTAAATCCGCACTGATATTCGCCTATTATATTTTCAACTTCTTTTTCTAGCTTATCTTTTATGCATTTTGATAGGATTTTATATACGGTATTTAGTAACGCTACTCCTCTATAATTACTGCATTCTGTTTTGTCCCCTTTTTTGTGTAATGGGCAAATAATTGCTTCCTTCCAATCTTCTGGTATTCGTTCTTTTATCCATATCTCCTTTATATTCTTGTATATCCAATCATTTAGCAGTTTTTCACCATATTTCATCATCGCTGCTGTTATGTTATCGCTTCCAGGGCATTTATTGTTTTTCAGACTTTTTATGATTTCCTCGATTTATTCTTTGCTGGGTGAACTATCTTCTATGTCTTCTAAGTGTTCGATTCTTGCTTCTGCTTCCATACATTCTCTTTGGTTTGACTTATTAGTATTTAGTAATTCATCAAAATACTCTTTCCATCTTTCGACTATTTCTGCTTCACTGCTTATATTATTTCCTGCTTTTTTTTTAACGAATATGGGTTTTTGTTGGAAACTTCTTTTTTCATTTCTAGCACCTTGATATAGGTTTTTATTTCTTTATTTCTGTAATTCTCTTCTATTTCTTTTAGCTTATTTTCCATGTATTTCCTCTTCTTTTCTCTCAGCACCCTCTTTGCTTTTTGTCTTTGCTCCATATATCTATTCTTTATCTCTGTTGTTTCATTCGTGATCATTTCCATCTTTAACGATTTTCTTAGTTCTATTTCTTTTTGGAACTCTATGTCGAACCAGTCTTTCCTCTTTTTATTCTCTTCTTTATTACATTCTTTTGCAGCTTTGTTCATTACTTGCTTTATGTTTTCCCATTTGTTCTCTGTCTGCTCTTCTATTTGTATCTTTTTTAGTTCTCTTTCCATTGTTTCCTCGTACATTTCTTGCTCTTTCTTTGTTGCTAATCAAATTGGTGTATTTATACATTTCCTTCCTTTTATTTTGTTTTTCTTTTCTGGTATCAGTTGCTTAATTTTGATGCCCACCATGTAATGATCTGAGTCAGCATCTGGTCCTCTGTATATTCTTATCTTCTTTATACATTGCTGTTCTTCTTTTTCGATGAGCACGTGGTCTATTTAGTTTTTAGTCTTTCTATCTGGCGATATCCATGTTTCCTTGTGTATTTCTTTTCTTTCGAAATATGTGCTCATTATGATCATATTTTTTTTTCTCTTGCGAAATCTATAACGAATTTTCCGTTTTCATTAGTTTAATTGTGGTTACTATATTTTTATTGTCATTCCAAATACTGGGTATATTTTCGATTATTCTATTTATTTCACTGTAAAAACATTCTTTAACATCATTATCTTTTTCTTCTGAAGGTGCGTGAATATTTATGAGGGTAATTTTTTGGTATTTTCACTTGAGCCTGATACTACATATGAGGTCTGATACTGGTTTCAACTCTACCATTGCTTCTTTTAGTTCTTTTCTTATCATAAAACCTTTGTATAACGTTCGATTCTTTCCGCCGCTGTTAAAAAACACTGTAGGTATCTTCTATTTCTAATATATCATTTCCCAGCTGTTTTGTCTCCTGCAAAGCTACTATGTCAAAATGGAAGTTTTTGATTTCTCTCGCTAAATGTTTAAGTTTGCCTTCTCCATATGTGCCTCTTACATTTCATGTTCCTAAAAGTAAGTGTTCTTTTTGACATGTTTTCTTGTGTTTTAATCCGGTTTTCAGTTTTTTCCTCTTTTTCCTTTTTTTGCATTGTCGCTAACCTTTTTCTGTGCTTGTTTCATCAACGTTATTCCAGTAGTACACTTATTTGCTAGTTTTTTTATGTTTTGACTATTGCGCCTTCTTTGTCATTCCATCTCCATTCGCTGTTATTTACTCATATTTACTCATATTTTTTTTACCCCAATCTTGACTTCATTTCCTTTAAAAGTAATACTACTTACTACAGAGCATAAAACCTGAAGACTGGGAAGAGTATTTCAAAGAACTTTTGGTAGAGAATAAAGTCGAATTTCACGAACACAGAAACCAAAAAAAACCAGGGCATAAACCCAGAGAATTGTTTAAATACGGAACGAAAAAATTGTACGAATGTCTTCGACAACTATTTCAAGAATGCATAAACGCAAGCGAAATCTTCGCAAGCGAAGATATCCTCAGGGATACATAAAGGGTGATAAAAATAATTGTGAAAATTACCGAGGAATAGCTGTAACCGGATCTATGAGTCGAATATATGGAAAGGTTTTAAAGAACCGAATCGAGAGAGAATACTTAAATTATGAAGCAGAAGAACAAGCAGCATTTCGTACGGGTCGATCCACTATTGACCACATTTTCTCCTTAACCCAGATAATAGAGAAAAGGATGGCACGGAATCAAGAGATTCATATGTTGTTCGTCGACCTACGGAAAGCCTAAGACAGCGTTCCACTGAAGAAGCTATGGCAATCAATGGAAAGCACGAATATTAATGATTGATATTAATAATTTGATATTAAAAATTGTTTGTTTAAATTTAGTTTACATTATGTGTTATTAAAAATTATGATGTTAAAGTTACTAAATCCACCGGTAACTTTTAATAATACATAATGTAAACTAAATTTAAAAAAAATAATTTTTTAACGGGTTTTTACCCACATCTTTAGTGGCTACATACATGTATACCTAGACACTGGTGATGGAATATGGATTCCGAAAACGTTTTGTGATATAGACCGATTGGGTTTTTAAATTATATACCTTTTATAAAGGATTTTTGATATTTTTTTTTTAATTAAAAGTCTTTCCTATACAACTAAATTTAAATGTTGCGTGAACAAGCGTTCTGGACTACGTCATGCGCGAAGCGAACCGATTTTGCAACATTATGTATCATACCTTGTGCTCATTGTACCATGCGTTACCTGTTTAGCACATGCTTTAAATAGAGTAGGAGAAACTGTAAGGTCAGAGTTTCCAACGGTCAATACCCTTGTATCAAATATAAAAAAATATATTCTTAAAAGCTCCTCTGCGAGTACAGGCGTATAATGTTTACCACCTGAACCGGTGATAACTAGATGGGGAACATAGTTAAATTCAGTAAATTTCATAAACGATAATTTTGAGGGAATTAGAGACGTCATTTGTAGTTTCGATGTAGATAGCTCAGGTGCTATAAAAAAAATGTGTGGACGTTTAACGAAAAAACATTATTAAAAAGTAATTTGGTACATATCCAAACCTATTTTGTAAATATTGCTGAATCAATTACTAGATTAGAAAAGGGAAACATTTTGATTAAACAAAAGTATTGAAATTATCAATTCATTAAATGAAAAAATTACACCTTGGGGAAACCAACAAAGTGTATCAACAATTCTGCACAGTTTTTAAAGAAAAATGAGGGATATTCAAATAAATGATATTATATGTGAAGTAGAAAGAAGTTTTTCAGCATATAAACAGTTATTATCAGATAGACGGCATAGTTTTTCTCTAGAAAATTTAGAGAAACATTTAATAATATATAGTTTTAACTGTAATAATAGTATAATAAAAAATGATGATGATGATGAATGGTGATGAATCAAAGAATAAATAAATATAATGATGTAGATAATACAAATTTCAATAAATATTTTTTGTGACTAGCATAAAATAAATTAAATACCTTCAATACAAGTATTACTGCGTTTTTTATTTATATGCAATAAATGTATAAAAGCATAAAAGGCACATTTTAGTGCATATTTCAACTGTAAACTTACTTAGCTAAGTACTTCTTTTATCTAACTTAGATAAAAATTAAAGAACTGTACATTGCTAACGACCACATAGATATACATAACTTTTATAACATAAACTAATTCTGAATATTTACTTAAAATAATTTAATACTAAAGTAAAAAATAATACAAACACAATACCTTGAATGTGCTTTCCCTGATGCACTTAAGGGTGAGAATGTTACTTCGAATAGTTGGTCCATACAATCGATATTTTTGACAAAATATTGAAATTTGAGTTTAAATATTTCAACAGTATGTTTAAGAACATCGTGGAAATTTGCTTTACCTACAGCTATTAAATTTAGCTGTTCTTCTACGGCTGATCTCATCGTGGGAAGTACTAGCTCGCCGTCTATCTACAAATATAAATTTCTTAATATTTTTGAGACAAATTATTCCTCAATAAATGACTGAACAGACTGTGCTTTATGAAGCAGGTTATATTTACCATACATGGAACCACATTTTGTCAAACAATTGCTGTATTGTTGATATTAACTGTTTTATTTTAGTTTCCAATCTATGTTTTAACAATTCCCAGTATTTTTACGACTTCATCATAAATTGTATCGGCATAATGGATCCATACATTTTTTTAAACCATTTTTTTTTTAATCATTATTACTCTAGTCGTCAGAGACGAAAATGCTACTCAACCTCTAAAAATCATACGAAAAAGCTGAATTTTGCCGAGAATTGATAATTTTGGGACCCCAAAAAAGATGCAAAAAAGTTTACCACTTTTACCCCCGGCTTCCCCCTAAAAGCGCAAAAAATCGATTTACCAAGAATCTTTGTAAGAATAAACAAAAAATGTTAATTAGTAGTTTTTGGTTTAGAATGAAACGTTCCACCACAAATAACACTTGAAGCGATCGTCGATTTTGAATGTCAGTTACGTGCTTGAAATCATGTTCAATAACATTTATATCAGCTCGACAGTAAAAATTTGATATCTTTTGATCCAAGTGTTCTATCCACTAAAATCAAGATGCGTTTTAAAGGTAGAGAGTGCAGCTTTCGTAAGCAGTTTTTGTATTATGCCGCAAGTAAACTTAGATTTTATAAAGATGTTAAATTGGCGCAAAATTGGGTTGTCGCGAAATGGTGTGGGCGCGTAACGGTGTTGGCGCGAAATGGGGTAAGCGAAAATGGTGTGGGCGTAAAATGGTGTGTGCGCAAATAGTGTGGGCGCAAAATTGTGTGAGCCCAAAATTGTGTGGGCGCAAAACGTTGTGGGACCAAAATGTGAGGGCGCGAAATGGTGTGGGTGCAAAATTGTGTGGGCGAAAATGGTGTAGGCACTAAATGGTGTAAGCCCAAAATGGTGTGGGCGCAAAATTGTGTGGGCGCAAATTTGTTTGGACGCAAAATGGTGTGCCCGAAATGGTGTGGGCGTGAAATGGCGTGGGCGTAAAATGGTAAGTGGTTTGTGTGTAATAATTTATTATATATATTCCAGGGTATATTAAAAAAATATGATGTCAGGTCAGTAGTGCACCACATCATACTTTATATTTACTTGCGTTTATTATTCCAAAAATTTAATCACTGACTATAGATGACGATTGGATCATCCGTTGCATGTAGCCAAATTGGATTGGAGCGATTGGAATGCTGATAACTGGAGATATGTGATGTTTATCGATGAGTCCTTATTTTATTAAGGTGTGGGCTGATAAATCTTCGAAGGCGAGTACAGAATTGTACGATGTCCCTAGGGGATCTCTAACCACTGATAGGTACATAAATGAAATACTACAAAATTATATTAACCCGTATGCACCGTTTATTGAAGAAAACTTCACACTGATGCATGACAATGCACGCCCTTATGCTGACCGCATTGTCAGAGAATATTTAAATGATATGACATGGCCAGCGCGCAGTCCCGATTTAAATCCCATCGAGCATATGAGACAGGCTTGGTAGAAGTATTCGAAGCCAGATACCTGCTCCCCTTACTTTAAATCTTTAAATCAGCTTAAAGTGGCTTTTTTTAGAGGAATGGGAAGCAATTTCACAGGACGAAGTTTTAAACTTAATTAATAGAGTGCCCAGAATAATGAATGCCGTTAAACCGGCTTGTAGAGGTTAAAACAATATATTATATATATATATATATATATATATATATATATATATATATATTATATTATATATATATATATATATATATATATATATATATATATATATATATATATATATATATATATATATATATAGTAAAGCCTCTAAAAAACCGCTAAAGGAATAGCCTAAATATTTTAAATACAAACTACTGCAACAGATTGCAACATGGAACGTTAGAAGTCTGTCCACGAAATGAAACGTTTAGGGTTGCAGATATTGGGTTTGAGTGAAGTTAGATGGCCAGGTTCAGGTAAAGTTAAAACCATGAACAAAACTTTCTATTACTCGGGTAATAACGATCCGGTTCATCGTAACGGGGTTGGAGTAATTTTAGAAGACAAATATAACAATGCCGTCACAAACTTTGTGCCATTTTCGGACCGATGTCTTCTTATTCAACTATCCGGAAAGCCAGTAAATATTAACATCATTCAAACTTATGCCCCTACGGCCGATAAACCCATAGAAGAGCTAGAAGCGTGGTATGCTGACGTAGAAAAACTTATAAAGATGACCAAAAAACGAGACCTAACATTTATCTTAGGGGACTTTAATGCTAAGTTAGGTAAAGGAAAAGTTTCTGGATTGATCGGAGACTTCGGACTTGGAGCAAGGAACGACAGGGGAGAGAGAATGACCGAATTCTGCCAACAACACAACATGGTAGTGACAAATACATGGTTTAAATTACATCCTCGCAGATTGTACACTTGGACTTCACCACAACACAATGAAAACAGAGTAATCCGTAACCAAATAGATTACATATTGGTCAACAAAAGATATCACAATGCAATCATCAGTGCAAAAACATATCCTGGATCTGACATCAATTCCGATCATAAACCTGTTGTTGCAAAAGTTCGTGCAAGATAGAAACTAATAAAGAAAAAAAACCTCAACACCAACTATTAGACATCCAATTATTGAAAAACGACACCATACATCAGACAGTAAATAAAGAATTAAACAAAAATTTAGGAAATATCGACCACAATAGAATTAGCGAGTACGATGACATAAACGTTCTGTGGAAAACTATTAAAGAACAAATGAACAATGTAACGGAAAAACATCTAAAAGTAACACCTAGAAATAACAAACAGGAATGGATGACAGAAGAGATTTTACAATTAATGAACAAACGAAGAGAATCTAAAGGAAAAAATGACAAGGACGGAGAATACAAAAGACTAAATAGAATAATTCGAAAAAAAAATAACCGAAGCAAAAGAGAAATGGCTGGAAACAAACTGCGTTGAAATAGAAGAACTGCAACAAAGGCACGATTTTTTTAATTTACATAAAAAGGTAAAAGAGTTTACATCGACTACCAAGAGAACGACTTTTCACACCATGCTGAACACGAATGACAAACTGCTAGAATCAACGGAAGATAAACTGAAAGAATGGGAAAACTATATTAAAATTCTTTTTCACGACATACGAGAAGAACCAAGATTGGAAAATAACAACGAAGGGCCAAAAATTCTGAAATCTGAAATCATAAATGCAATTAATCATCTCAAAACAAATAAAAGCCCAGGTCCAGACGGAATATACCCAGAAACGCTCAAATTAATCAGCGAAGAAAATATCGAATTATTTGTCCTTTTATTCAATCGCATTTATGATACAGGTAAAATACCCCAAGATTGGCTGGAGTCAATATTCATCCCACTACCAAAAAAGCCAAACCCACAACACTGCAATGAGTTCCGTCTGATAAGCCTTATGAGTCATCCAGTAAAAGTCCTACTAAAAATCGTACATAATCGTATCTATAGAAAGTGCGAAACAATAATCGGAGACGATCAGTTTGGATTCAGAGCCGGCATGGGAACGGGAGAAGCCCTGTTCAGTTTACTAGTTCTCGCCCAAAAATGCTACGACCAACAGAAAGATATATTTATATGCTTTATAGACTTCGAAAAAGCATTTGATAGAGTAAGACACGACCTACTATTAGAACGTTTGCAAGAAGTCGGTTTAGATGGAAAAGACATCAAATTCTTAAAAAACTTGTACTGGAACCAAAATGCCAGAGTTAGGATCGAAGGTTCCACGTCCGCAGAAGTAGAAATTAGGAGGAAAGTTAGACAAGGATGTGTTCTGTCGCCTCTGCTGTTTAATCTTTACTCCGAGTTTCTATTTAAAGAAGCATTGGAGGATTCCAAGGATGGAGTCAAGGTGAATGGCGTAAATATCAACAGTATCACATACGCCGATGATACAGTGTTAATTGCGGATTCCGACTCAGGTCTACAACGACTCATCGACAAGACCAACTCGACCTGTGAGCAATTTGGTATGAAAATAAACATTAAAAAAACCAAAGTGATGTCAATCCGAAAAAACCAAAACGTACCTCAACCTTGCACAATAAATGGGCACATCTTGGAACAGGTCAATAGATTTAAGTACCTGGGATGTTGGATCGATAGCAGCCTAAATCCTGATCAAGAAATAAGATCGAGAATAGAACAGGCCAGAAAATCTTTCGAAAAAATAAAAAAACTGCTTTGTGATTCTCGAATAAAACTCGAAATTCGACTACGTTTATCAAAATGCTACGTCTGGTCGACTCTTCTATATGCAGTTGAAACGTGGACCCTTAAAACATCAATCGTAAATAAATTGGAGGCCTTTGAAATGTGGATCTACCGGAGAATACTCAAAATTTCATGGACATCGCATACCTCAAACGAAGAAGTGCTGCATATAATAGGCAAGGAAATAGAACTTTTTAACACAGTAAAAGTTAGAAAAACATCATACCTAGGCCGCATACTGAGAAATAATAAGTACCAATATGCCCAACTTATAGTGAAAGGAAAAATCGAGGGAAAGAGAGGCCTAGAAAGGAAAAGACTATCGTGGCTCAGAAACATCCGACAATGAACAGGGCTAAATTTTGAACAGCTAATAAGAACAGCTGAAGATAGAGAAGAGTTTAAAATTGTAGTAGCCAACCTCCATTGAGGAGAGGGCACTTTAAGAAGAAGAAAGCCTCTAAATATATGGGTAAAAACCTTTTAATGATATTAAATTTGTTATTAATTATATCTTTGTTGATAAATTCATATGATGTCGAAGTTTTAAACTTAGAGTTGTTGACCCTGATATAAGCCCCAGGCAGCAACTGATTGATTTTATTAAAGGATTTTTTAAATCAAATTTTTGTGATTTATGGTATGCAGCGAACTACAGGAATTCAGTTTCCTTATGAATCATATGTTTAGTTTTTTTTCTTGGAAGTTTATCTTTAACTAAGTCTAAGCGTCGTTGAAAACATCCTCGGAGTACAGATTAATCATTTTCCATTTCTTCACAGAATTCGCCATATACATGAATAGTGGCTTTTTGGTCTCAATAAATTTCCTTTATTATTCTTCTATAGTTGATATTGATATTCTTATTCTCTAATATTTTTATTAGTTGATCATGCATTACTTTATCAAACACCTTTGTATTAGTACATTGGTGGCAAATAGTACATTTTTAGTTTCCAAGTTATTTCTGAAACCAAATTGAGTTTCACTCATGTCAGAGAGTAATAGACATATTGCTAACTGCTAAAAAACCTTCCCTTCCTCCCTCTCATTTTCCTACACTCGTTTTTTTGTTCTGCTTATTCTTCGTTTCTTAGAAGGAGTTCTCCGGATGTTAAAAGCGCCAAATTTGACTTAGTTTTTGTGTCCAAGTTTTTAGTACATACATAAGCACCGACCGACTACAGTGTAGCGTTTAGTAGTTTAGAAACCTCATATGAATATTAATATTTAAATACTGAAAACAATTTCACCAACTTACCTTTTGATACCCATGAACTAGCACAATACCAAGGGATGTCGGTTTTAGCTTCCTGCCACTTATGACTGTAACGTAATTTCTTTGACATATGTTATTAATGTGAACTGGAATGGAAGCATCAGTACCAATACCATGCTTTTCCATCAACGTAATTAGTTCAGCTTCAGTTAAGTAATCAGGAGGCTGAGTTTGATGTTCTGTAATTTTGGCCTCAGTGATTGGCACTAATTCGTTTGCCGTCAAATCTGGAAGTATTTCGTTTTTACCAAGTGCCTAGAATAATATAGGTTAGGTCATCATTATTACGAATCAGCAGATAAGATAATTCTTACTTTAAGCAAATTGCCCCCAAAACGGTGCATTGACGAACACTTTAAGGCTAACAGCAACAAAACAATTTTAATATAATTCACGAGACGAAGATTTAATCTAGTCGCATGAATGATTAGCAATATCAAACCTTTTTCGCTGACATAAAATATTTAGGAGTGATCCTGGAAATTGGCCGCTGAACGATCATCAATCCTATAATGACTTACAGGCGACTCACAAAGTTAACTAAGTTAACGATATTAGACTAATTCCTTGAACTAATTTGCCGACAATTGGAAAACGTCATGTTTTGGCCCAAAACAGGTGTCATACACCACTGCCAGGAAAATTGTGCCCAGGATCTGCAATACTAATGCATAGCTTGAAAGAATCGTTGCATGTTGTCGAGTTTGGGGATGAAGAAAAAAGAAAAAAATCCTTTGCATAGCATATACATACTCATAGGGCCAGTCTATTTTTTGAAGCTAACTTTATACGTATGCATCCCTTATAGATTAAAGGGCTGGAATGAGAGCACTGTGGCCGAATTTCGGACTCCCAAAATCTCTTGGAAATTTACTAACTTTCAGGCGACAATGCACATCATATCATCATCATCATCATCCAGGCTTCATTTATCACGTCCACTGCTGGACATTGATCTCCCTTAAACTTCTCCATTATTTGCGATTTTGTGCTCTTTGTTCCCAATTTTTCGTGATACGCCTGATATCGTCAGCCCAACGTGTAGGAGGTCTTCCTCTACTACGTTTGTGTGCTCTTGGCCTCCAATGTGTAACTTTGCTCGTCCATCGTGAGTCATGCATTCTTGCTACATGGCCTGCCCAATTCCATTGGGCACATTCCACACATCATATACATCATATATATCAGAGTAAATAGATATATCAAGATATAGATGATATCAAGCCAAAGAACAATGATTTTAGAATAGAACAATACGAAAGTAAATACGACACTTAAAATATGCACAAAAAATAATATCAATGACAAGCAAAAACACATCCGATGAGTCCGTAAAAGATAGCGATGGAAATCTTATCTCGAAGCTATCAAGGATCTTCAAAACATGGAAATCTTTAAAACAAAAAACAAAATATAGAAAAATTATTTGCATCGGACAAGACTGATGATCAGTTATATGGAGAAGGAAAAACAGATCCGTATAATGTACACTGCGAAATACTAAAGATCCAATGTAGATCAGACAAACATTTCCTTAATGTCTAGTTGCATCTTTTAACAACGTTATATAAGCGGAAAAATTCCGGAGGACTGGTTGCAGTCGACTTTTATAACAATTCCAAAGAAAACTAAATGCCCCGCTTCGTGAGGCGGAAACAAACGACTTATAAGGTTGATCAATCACATTACTAAAGCGTTCACCAAGATCATTCATTAAAGAATGTAATATGATAAATGTGAGTCAACACTGACAGACCTCAGTTTGGCTATCGGAAAGCAATTGGAACTAGAGAAGCAGTTTTCGTTTTCCAGTGTTTATATAGCAGTATAGAGACGTTAATAAGGATGTATATTTGTGTTTTATGTATTTTAAAAAATATTTGACACTGTCAATCATAAATAACTAATAGATATTATATAAAAGACAGGTGAAAAGGATATTCGGATTGCGGCAAGCCTATACTGGGATCAAACATCAAGAGCAAAAATAGGCAATGAACTTACCGAAAATATGGGGATCAAAAAAGGTGTCCGACAGGGCTGTACCTTATCCCCACTCTAATTCAATATTTACTCTGAGGAGATATTTAAAACATGTATGGAAAATGTAACAGAGGGCATAAAAGTAAACAGTGACTTAACGAAAAACATAAGATATGCCGACGACACGTTGATCATTGGCAGTAGCAATGACGAAATGCAATAGGCAATGGGAAAGTGTTAATGCAGTCAGTGAGGACTACGGCCTGAACCTCAACCTCAAGAAGGTAAAATGGGTGCTGTTAAGCAAGAAGCAACAACATGTAAACAGTTACGGAAAAACATACTAATTGACCATGTAGAATCTTATATATAACTTGGAACCAATGTAAATGCCAAATGAGAGCAGGCCACAAAAATTAAGGACATAGAAAGAGCTAGAGCAGTATATAACAATATTAAAAAGCCCTTCATAAGCAAGGATTTGTCCCTTCCTCTAAAACTACGACTAGTTAAACGTCATATTTTCCTTTCTTACTATAAGGTCCGGAGGCCTGGACGCTGATAGAGACTCTTAGGGTGCGTTCATAACGGAGACCATGGCATCGTATCCTCGCCTACAGCATAGCACTAACGGTGAACGCTCGCATTTAAAATAATGCATTTATTTTACCGAAAATCGATAAGATGATACCATCCCATGGTCCGAGCGAGGGTCGGCGCCTCGTTATGAACGCACGCTCATGAAAAATAGCATTCGAAATGTGGGTATACCGACGCATTCTTAGACGACTTCTATTGATTATCCACGAAACAAATAGACATCAGGCGAGGGGGCAGGCAGAAGAAGACACGCGTGGCTCCAAAATCTGCGGAAGCGGTTAGGGCTCATATCGGAGGAACTATTCAGAAGTGCCGTACGCAAGATCGGGCGAAGGGATCGGGGTTCACAGCGGACAGGGTACTTGAAGAACAAACAGCCAAGTTGCTTTAAATGCTGAGAAGCGTTTTACGAGTTAAAGCTGGTCGATGACTTCAAACAATCTTTTAAGTAGCATCACTCAAGGCAACGTTGTTTTGATCAAGTCGTAGAAGGAGCGGTAGAAATAACGAATACGACTAGTAGGCAAAAGAAGAAGCAAGAAAAGTTACGTGCCATTTGTAAGAATACAGCTTTGTTGTTGACTGGAAAGATAATTAACTACAATCTTACTACAAAACCATCCTTCTTTGATTCTTCTTGTACTTTGTTTACTTGGAGTTGCATGTCCTGTTTTGTATGTGCTAGGAGGCATATATCATCAGCGTAATCTAGGTCTTCCAGTCTGTTTGTTAATCCCCAGTAAATTCCTCTATTAGAGTTTACCTTTGTTAGTACGGAGTCCAGTACAATGTTAAATAGTATGGGGGATAAAACATAATGGCTTTACTCCGTTTAGCATAGCTATTGGGTCAGATGTTATGCCGTTGTGTAGGATTTTGCTTTCTGTGTCACTGTAGAGTTCTTTGATGAGATTTACTATTTTTTCTGGTATTCCTATTTCCTGCAGTGCTTTCCATATGGCCGTATGTGTGAGCGTGTCAAAAGCTCTCTTGAAGTCCACAAAGCATACAAAGAGAGGAGAGTTGAATTCCTGTGACTGTTCTACAATTATTCTTAGTGTGTTAATTTGGTCCACGCATGATCTGCTTGGTCTGAAACCGGCTTGTTCCTTCCTCAACATTGGTTCTACACTGTTTGTTAGTCGGTTGTTTATAATTAATGCTGTTAATTTATTTATAGTATGTAGAAGTGTGATTCCTCTCCAGTTTTCGCAATATCTTCTGTCACCCTTTTTTGGTATCTTTATTATTAATCCCGTTTTCCATTCTTTGGGGAACTTTTCCTCTCTCCAAGCCCTTTTCAAGAGTGGTTGGATTAGCTCTGCCACTGTACCTGGGCAAGCTTTTAACAATTCTGGTGGAATATTGTCAGGGCCGGCTGCTTTGTGTGCTTTCAGTTTTTCTATGGCCATTTCTATTTCTTGCGTTGTTGGTTCGTTGGTGTTAATTCTCAGTTGGATATTGGGTATTAGGTTTTCTGCGTCTTCTGGTGGTGTTGGGACTGCACTTAGAGATTCGCTAAAATATTCATGCCATCTTTTGACTTGTTCCTGTGGCGCTGTAATATCTTCACCTGTAGCACTATTTACAATTGGTTGGTGGGTAGTATATCTTTTATTGGCTAGTTGTTTAGTGATATTATATAATTGTCTCATGTTTTGATGTTCATCGGCGACCCGCGCTTCTTCGGCAAGATTTTCTGCCCACTTTCTTTTGTCTTTCTTTGCTGCCTTCTTGACAGCTTTATTCGCTTCTCTATAACTTTCTCTAAGTCGATTCTTCTCTGCTGCTGTCTTGGAATTTAGTAATTCTAGATTAATGTGTTTGCGACGTTCTATTTTGTTCCACGTTTCTCTCGTAATCCACTCTTTCTTTACGTCTTTCTTTAGGCCCAGCACGTTTTTACTTGTTTCCACAAGGGCTTTGCTAATCGTTTCCCAATTTTTGTCCTGTCTTTCGTCGATTTTGGATCTCAGCTGTCGTGCGAATTCTACTTTCGTCTCGTTATTTTGTAGTTTCTCAATGTTGAACTTTTTTCGAATAGGTTTGTTCAGTTCTTTTCTATTCCTAGCTATTTTGAATCTAATTTCGACCATCATCAGGTAGTGATCACTGGCCGCATCTGCGCCTCTCCATGATCTGACATCTAAGAGAAATGTTCTCCATTGCTTACTGATTGCAACGTGGTCGATTTGATTGTAGGTGCGGTTATCTGGCGATTTCCATGATACCTTGTGGATTGTTTTGTGTGGGAACAAAGTCCCTCCAATGATTAGGTCATGGTTACCACATAATTCAATGAAGCGTTCGCCGTTGTTGTTTCTCTGGCCAGTGCCATGCTTTCCGATAACGTGTCCTAGGTTGGTGTTGTCAGTGCCAACCTTGGCATTGAAGTCTCCCATCATTATTTTTATATCGGATCTTTTAATTTGTTCTAATGTTGCTTCAAGGCATTCGTAGAAATCCTCTTTTTCTTGTTCTGTTGCTTGTTCTGTTGGTGCATAGCACTGAATCAGTGTTACCAGTCTTAATTTGGTCCTAATTCTTGCAGTGATTATTCGCTCTGAAACTGGTTTCCATTCCACAAGATTTGGTACCAGACACAACCAACCTATTATGATCAACGACCAGACAATTGAGAGAGTAGCGGGATTTGTATATCTGGTCAGCATAATTGACTGTAATGGGGGTACAGAGCGTGATGTACATGAAAGAATAAATAAGGCTCGCAACGCCTACAACATGCTTAACAACATTTGGAAATCCAGGATTTACCCAACTAAAACGAAATTAAAAATCTTCAACACAAATGTAAAAGCTGTATTACTGTATGGCTGCGAAACGTGGAAGATATCAGCACCCATAGTACACTAATTACAAGTTTTCATCAATAGAGCGTTACGAAAAATCCTTCGTATATTTTGGCCTAACCGAATCTCCAATGAAAATTCATGGAACCAAAGCAACCAAGAAAATGTCATAAAGCAAATAAGGCGAAGAAAATGGAAATGGCTGGGCCACACACTCCGTAGACCGCCAAATGACATTGCCAGGACAGCGCTGGATTGGAATCCCCAAGGCCGACGGAAAGTAGGCAGACCTAAGGGAACTTGGAGAAGGACAGTACTGGACGAAGGGAGAAAAATGGGAAAATCCTGGCTTGAAATCAAAGCACTAGCCAGAAATAGAGTTCGCTGGAGACACTTTGTGGAAGCCCTATGTTCCTCTTAGGAATCTTGGGACTATATATATATATATATATATATATATATATATATATATATATATATATATATATATATATATATATATATACTACAAAACCACCAAAAAACTTTGTAAATTCATTGATTGAAATCTCAAATTGCGTTCTTGAAATAAACAAATAAATATTAAACTGGTTATAGGTCTTGCCATTTAACACTATGCTCTAAGGTTCCATCTCAAAACAAGTGAAACAATCAGAATTGTTGTTTTTGTGAAAATGAAAACTATTAATATGATACTGATAAGTATTGGTATTCTAGAGTTTAACATAATGAATAAATAATATACCTGCCAAGGCATCACCGTCGTAAACCCAGGTTCCGTAAGAGCTTTTCCAGTTACGGAAAATTCTTCATTATTTATTGTCATAAGCGCTGTAGTTGTGAGATACCGACAATCTTTGGCTAGAGTTCCGATGAAATGTCTAGTGATATAATCGTACAGTTTCCAAGAATCTCCGTCCAATTCATTTCTCGAAGCTGATTTCATTGGAGTTATAGGAGGATGGTCACCTTAAAAATAAATTACATAATAAGTATCAAAAAGTATAAACTGTTTTTAGAATATTTCGAATTTTCAAATTCCAGAAATATTATGGTAGTGAATAATTACACTATTCTTGAATCGGAAAATTGTTTAGCGTAATTCGTGGACGTTTTAATCAATGGTGTTAACGAGCGATGAAGACTACAGGTTAATTCAACGCAAACGATATCCATGTGCATAGGGGGAGTTGAAAAGGATAAACTAAAATTTCGTCTTGTTCCGTATATATTTATTTGGTGGCAAACATGGAAAGAAATGGACGTACTGAAACAGAAATCGAAGAATGGATCATTAAAGGAAAAAACTAATAGGCTCACTAAACTCACTACTTTGGTCAAAAACTATCCCTACACAGAAATGGATAGAGCTATATAACAGCATTTTTAAAAGTGTTATACTTGATAGATGCGAAACCTAGTAACTCACTAAGAGAACTAAACAAAAGCTCCTTGTTCTGGAAATTGATTTTTGGCACAAATCAGAAGATATATCAAGAATGATGCACGTATCAAATGAAAGAATACGACAAATTATGGACAGAACAACCATCAGCATAGAAAAAATACAGCAAAAAAAGCTTATTTGGTACGGACATGTATAGAGAATGATAGACCATGACATGCCGTAGGTAATATTGGATTGGATCTTCGAATCTACTACATGGATTGTAATTTACCAACGTTCGTTTAAAAGTTATTTAATCTGTCTCTACAATTTTTTCCTTTTTGGGTTAAATTTTGACAATTAACTGAAAATCATAAAATTTTGTAAGTTTTCTTTTCGTTCTTCTTGACCTATAAAATAAACCTTATCTTTTGGATTCTCGATCGAACCTCCGAACAGTAAACATATCAGCAATTAGCGATAATTGATATTTAATATTAACTCGTTAGCTTGGACAAAATAAGGAATTTTTTTGATTCAAATGTAAAATTTTGTTTATATCTAAAATTTAAATAAAGGTGCAATGTAAAAGTGTTACTTCTTCTGGCCTAAAAACTGTAAGTTTGATTTTCCTATTTCATATAAAGGGTAAACAACTATTTTGCCGATTTAGCGTGAGGTTAATTACCAGTCTTTGTGGTAATGATCCATTATAAGAACCAGGGCCGTATTCAGGTTATTTTGTACAAGCATGAAAATTTTCCATTGAAAAGCAATCTTGCTACTTATGGAAGCAGCAAGGACATTTTGCATCTCAGTGTCCCAATAAAAATAATCAGACTACTTAAATTAACACTCAAAATAATGTGCATCTAAACTCCTTACAGGACCTACACCAATCAGTTCCCCTATCGACAATTTTTTTTACACAATCCTCTCCTACTGAGACTGAAACTACAGTACAACAATCAGCTCCTTTGTTGATAAATTCCTCTACACAATCCTCTCTTCATCATCCAGCCCCATTTTCACATCCATTGTTGGATATAGGCCTCCTCCAAACGTCTCCAGTTCTCTCTATCTCTAGCTGCTGCAATCCAGTTTGTTTCTATTCTCCTTAGGTCGTCTATCCATCGGGTGGGTGGTCTGCCTCGACTTCGCTTGTCGGCTCTTGGTATCCACTCCAATAATCTCTTCGTCCATCTTCCGTCTTCCATTCTAGTAATATGTCCAGCTCACCTCTACTTTTGTTTATTGATTCGCAGTATAATATCGTCTACGCCAGTTCGCCGGCGTATCTCCTCATTTCTCACACGATCTTTCAAGGTCAGGCCCAGCATTGATCTCTCCATTCGCCTTTGTGTTACCCTCAGTTTTTCGGCAGTAGCTTTCGTTAAAGTTAGGGTCTCTGCTCCGTAGGTCAAGACTGGTAAAATGCATTGGTTAAATACCTTCCTTTTCAGGTGAATTGGGATATTTGTTTTAAAAATGTCTCTCATCCTTACATATGCCTCCCATACCAACGTGATTCGTCTATTTAGCTCGCAGGTTTGGTTGTCTCTGGTTATTCTAATTTCAAGACCCAAGTATGTGTATTTATCGATTAATTCTACCTTGTTGTTATTGATCTGTATCTCTTCGCTGGGAACCATATTGGTCATCATTTTGGTTTCCCCAAAATTTATCTCCAGCCCAGTTTCTTGTAGTATGTCATTCAGTTCTTGGAGCATGTCTTTGATCTCTCCCAGATTATCTGACAGAAGCACGATATCGTCCGCAAAACGTAGATGGTTTAATCTTTCTCCATCGATGGATACTCCTTTCTGTTGCCATGTTAGTTTTTTAAATGCATACTCAAGAACGGTAATGAACAGCTTTGGTGAAATGGTATCACCTTGCCTGACTCCCCTTTTATCTTTATTTTATTAGTTGCAGAATGTAGACTTATGGTTGTTGTGGCATTTTCATATATATTTTCAACTATATTACAATATCCACTCTGCAATCTTGTAGTACTCTTAAGCTGTATCAAACGCCTTTTTAAAGTCTATAAATATCAATGCCAAGGGACGGTTATATTCGTTAGTTTTTTCTATCAGGGTTTTTAGACACTGCAGGTGATCGTTTGTGCCGTAATTAGGGCGGAAACCGGCTTGTTCCCGAGGTTGGTGAAAATCCAGCTTTGTCTCTAGTCTGTTCGTTATTATTCGGGTGTATAATTTATAATAAATAATAAAGTCAAAGGTAAGCGAGGACCCGGTAGAAGGAGAATATCATGGCTGCGGAATTTAAGAACATGGTTTAAGAAAACCTCAACGGAGCTGTTTCGAGTCGCAGCGAGCAAGGTTATGATTGCCAATATGATTTCCAACATCCGAAACGGATAGGAACCAGAAGAAGAAGAAGAATAATTTATAAAGATGGTTAAGGAGACTCATTGGTCTGTATCTTTCCAGGTCTGCTACAATCCTCTCTTACTGAGGCTGGAACGTCTAGAAAAATCATTACCTCTCAATCAAATAAGCCTACTCCATTACTCCGGTAAGCTGCGACCTACCCAATGAGATTCAAATGAATACCTTTGATCAAGATACATCCTCATCTCAGCACCCTAAACAAAACCTATGTGAAATAATATCCACCCCAATAAGAGATAACGAAAATGCCTTCGCTGAACCGAAGCCACGAAGCAAAAAACCAAAAACGCAGCAAGAAAACAACAGAAACCTAGTAGAAGATCTTACTAAATGCACCAGTCAATTCTTCGAAGAAAACTCCAACAATGGATTATTAATACAGGAAGAACGTATTAACTTCTTTGAAAATGCGCATGGTTCTTCAGATCATCTCAGTGTCGCCAGAACTTATTCGGAGGATATCTAAGGATTGATAGACTTTCTAAAGAAAATACATTCTATGTTAAGTCCAAGATATCTCAAATCCCGTTGTTCTAGAATTAAAAACAAAATTACAGAACACATTTTAAGTAATACATCTACCGATGATTTTAGTGATTCCTTTGCGGAGACTTATTAATTTAGCTATTTTTAACTCTATTATTCAATGGAACCTAAATGGGTACCATACGCATTTAGAAGATCTTAAAATTCTTATAAATAAATTTCATCTATCCATCCTATGTTTGCAAGAAACACATTTCAAAGGAAATTCCTACTACAGAAGTAATCCAATTAATCCAAACCTTTGTAATAAGCCTGTTATAGTGATCTAACAGAACATCACTTATTAGAGGAGTGTCCTTTATACGCATTTGAAAGACAATATGAACAGTTACCTTCAACAATAAATGACATTCGTACCATACTTTTTTTGGTTTCCTCAGGACTAATTAACAAAATCTAATTGTATTCTTTATTTTTTTTTACATTTATGATATCTGTAAAATCGCTCATTGCTAATAACCCTTATGGTTAAAGCAGTTTCAAATAAAAAAAACTTATCTTTTGCGGTTTTGTAATTATTTTCGTCAAAAATTTGATATTATAACAAAAAAAATAGACCTTGTCAGTTAAAATCGGGCGTGTGGCTCAGAGATATAGCTCTTCAAATAAAAGTAGGGTAAAATTGGTGTTTTTGACCCTTTCGAGGGGCATCTAGAGGGGTCCAAGGGCACCTAGAGGACTAAAAAATATCCATAGGCTACTTAAAGATAAAACGATATCTCTTTCATATTCGTAACTTATACCGTACCCTAAAAAGTTAAAATGTGACACCTTTTCTATTGGCACTTCATTTATTATTATTTTGGAACTTACAGATTCTTTTCCTTTGTAAGCTTATAAACGTCACATAATTTTTCTTTAAATAATTATTTTATTTCAATTTCTTTTAATTTTACTCATTTGTTAACTTTCTCTTTTGTTTTACTATTTTCCTTCTAAAAATAGTTGGCGCTCAACTTTCTATCAACGCAATATATTTCATTTATTTAACAATAAAACACTGAAAGCTTTGTTTTCAAAACTTCTACAAAATTTATTATAATATCTTATCACTACAGCTGTTTCGGTAGAGTGCCCTTATCAAGTGATCTATTTTTGGATGTTTAAAATTTTTAATCTTTAACGAAATAGGGTGAGGAGTCGTGAACTGTTTGTCTTAAATTGATAATTCAGAATTATGTCTGTGTTTTTAAATTTTTCAATTTCCATAGATTCTAATAAAGATAGCTTAAGGCCCTTATTTTGGATGTAAAGAATTTGAAATTCGTTGAAGATGAAGTGCGTATGTAGAATATGTTGTCCCATTATTGAGAGCCCTTTTATGTTCTGCTATACGTTTGTTAAAAGTTCTACCACTTTGACCGATGTAAGTTTTTGGGCAGTCGCCACATTTAAGTTTGTATACACCACTTAACAAGAGCCAAAATAAAAAGCGCTTACACAGTGGTGTATACAAACTTAAATGTGATGATTTGCCCAAAAACTTACATCGGTCAAACTGGTAGAAATTTTAATAAACGAAGAGCAGAACATAAAAGAGCTTTAAATAAAGAAAACATATTCTACATACGCACTTCTATTTTATCCCTTATCCACTTATATTCTAGATCATAATCATT